CACCCCCAAGCCGGGCGCTGAATGACTATGCAGGGCTCTGCCACAGGGAGAGGACAGGGTGAGCCAGCAGTGAAAACAAAACTGATGTGGTGAGATGGATTTTACTTTTCACTGGTTTGGGTTACAGAGAAAGTTGATCTCACCATCACCATCTCTCAGTCTTTTCTTTAAAAAAAAAAATAACAGAGCAACATGCTGGCAGGTAAGCCGTCCTGTGGAGGTGGGCTGGCATCTCGCGCCCCGGCTCCCCGCCCCGGCAAGGGGAAGTGCTGTCGGTCCCAGGCGGAGGGAGGGTTGTGACTCAGTCCCTCGGGCTGACACATGCACACACCAGGGCTGTCACCTGCCGCAGCAAAAAATAAAAGTCCTCGCCACAACACGGCGGCCACGTGGGAAACGCCAAGTAAACAGATCAATGACACCGCGTGCCCACGCAGCCTGTCGCACCACTGGGGTGATTAACAAACCAACCTGTGGTCAACGGCAGCAAGGGGGAGAGGTGTCAGAATAATTCGATTTCGTACTGCATGCTGTACTGCAACAAACACCACTGTCCTCCTCTGTCATACCAGCTAACCACAGCTAAACGCAAGCAGGATGCTCCTCCCGGCCGTACGGCTCGCAGTCACTGCGTGTCCCTGGATGGGGATGCCTCCGGCACGGGGCTCTTGGTCAGAAACAGCCAGAGAGGGACATCGGCTCACTGCCCACACACGTGTGCATGCACAGTCGCTGTGCGTGAAGCTACACCAGCGCTTTTCAGACCATACTGAAAATATTTGTCCAGAGATATATTTTAATTTTTTTAAAAATATATTTTTATATATATAACATATATTTTAAAAAATATATATTTTATTTATACACACACACACATATATAAAAAAATAAAAAATATATTTAATCAACAGATATATTTGTAGCAAACAGTTACAAAGCCATCCCCAGCCACCCAGGCTGAAGGTGCAGCCTGCCTCGGGTACAGAGGCAGTGATGGTGCCGAGGAGCACCTGACCACACCGAGGGACCGACGCAGTGCCAGCAGTGGTCAATGGCTTTATGTATTCTCAACAGGGGGGCAGCAGCAGGAGTAACCAGATTAATTAGGGACAAACAAGATTTCCCCTAGATTGTAGGAAAACGCTTTTTGGCCGTTGCAAGCGCGACACACAGGACAGGATGCCACGGGAGGTTGTGAAGCTCCTCAGGGCAGGCGATGTTCCACACAATGGTGCTTGAGGTGCAGAGCCCTGCTATGCCGGTACTGTAAAATGGGTACGAAAATGCCTTCTCCACCATAAAACTGGCACTCCAACAGGAAAACGTACCAGAAAAATAATGAAATCCAAATACGGCCACATCTCGCATCAAAATCCTGTAGGATAAAACCACCCGTGTCCTCAGCTACGGCCATGGCACTTTGGAATTGGGTTTGGTGCCGAGATTTAGGAGTGTTTGGTAAGTAAATGTTCAAAGGGATGTGACTTCACCTTCAGAAATCTGACTTCCTTCTTAATCCGATCAAGTTACCTGACCTTTCAGTGCAGATTTAAAAAAAGATACATTTTTCCCAGGCTGTGGTGGTAGGCGAGTGACAGACATTTGATCACCAAAATCTGCATCTTAAAATTTTACATTATTTACATCTGCCTACAGATGGTGGAAGGACAGATTTCAAGAAATCTTATTTTAAAAACTTTGAAATATTCTGAAGAACTCATACCTAGCAAATATGAAATTTGTGTGCAGAGGTTTCTGAGTTTCGGGTTGCTTTTTTTCTGTCCATGAACAAAGCACTTAAAGGCCATTGCTGAATTCTCAACACTGCATAAGCAGTACAAATTAGGACAATGTATTAGACACAGAATGTCACTGATTAGGATGTTATTTTTCCCTCTTTTAAAAAGAAAAGATACAGGGATAAACCAAAGTGAGAAATGTGAGCAGAGCGTGGAAATTGCTGGGAATTGCCGCCCGTCTCCGCTGGGAAGCCAGCAGCCCTGCCCCAGCATCTGCTCCAAGGCACGGCCACGTCCCCAGCACCCGAGCAAAGCCCCATTCGTACGCTGCCATTAGAGATCATTTGGGATAACAAACTGAGCCGTGCAGCGAAGAGCACAGCTTCTCCCTAATTCCTGTACTCCCTCATTATAACATACGTGGTCTAACCATGATTAATTCCCAGGGGACCTGGATAAACGTTTTTTTAATCTTGACACATGCACTGTAACAGGGTTTTGCAATCTGCTCCGTCAGAACAAGGAAGAAACCTTCTGCTTTGAATTCAAACATCAATACGTATTATTTTTATGGAGATCACATCAATCAGCATCCTAGTAGTATTATACAAACTAAGTAACATTGGAAGGAGGGGGAAGGTATGCTTGTTTACTAAATACACTGCACCCTGGGAAAAACAAGAAGAATATGGTTATTACAGCTGGGTCAACTTGTGCAACTGCTCTTTCCAACAGGGCTAATTAACAAGGGAAAGTTCGCTTCTTTCTATGGGAATTGCTATAACAAGGTAATTGTTACAAGCAGTTTGTTATCCAAAAAAAAGCCAGACAGCAGGAAACACTGAGAAATTAAGTTAGCAACCGGCAGCTTGCCCTCCCATCTACCTCTGCCGGACCAGATCTGCATGCACAACAGGTGCAACCCCAGCCAACAACCTGCGAGGCAAAACACGTGTTTTCCAGGAGTTAGAGCACAGATCACGGTTTAAACGTTTGGCGTATCTCGAGCACCAAAAAAAACCCAAACTAAAAAAAAAAATAAGGAACGCACATATTTGATGACGGCTCCTATATCCTTACACTGGTACTCAAGTTCATTTGTCGTCAGACATGATCTTACTGATGGAAACAGGGACTTCGGATTATCTGCAGCACAAGAAGCAGCAGGACAAATCTTCCTATACACTTCTTGGAATGAGAGGGGTTTTTTTCCATTTATGTCCATTCAGTTTCTGGCTGCTTTTTCTAGTCTGCTAAGAAGGATGCCATTTTTAAAGTTAGTTCCTCTGAAAGGGTTTTTAATAGGGAATTTGCAAGATGCCTAATGATAAGCTTTTGAAACATCATGAGAAAAGCTTGCAAAAAATTGTGAGTAAGGCTTCCAAACCTCATGGGAATGGTGCTAAGTAGGACTAATGAACAACGAGTTGTTTCTGCCTGCCTAGCTGTTACAACTCGCATTTTCAAGTTTTCTTCCCTTAAGACAAGCACTAGAAACAAGTTTCAAGCCAGATCCAAAATTCTCCTGTAGTCAGATGATTCCTGCTATCAGGGTTTGATTAATAACTGTAGCATATATTGCCAAGCCCACAATGAAATAGCAACACTCTCCCTTTTTCGGAAAACAAAATCAAACCAACACCTTGTAAGGCCTCTGACAGCGAATTCTGTTACTACCCAGCCTTTCTCCATTGCCTACTACTTCACTATTATTTTTGCTGATATTCATCACACCAGAAAAAATTTTCTCCTCTTTAAAAACTGAAATTCCATATGCATTAAAAAACCTTGTCCTCCTTTTGGAATAGACTTTTCTTGTTTAAATAATACTTTTAGTGTCACATAAGCAAATAAAGTACCTCAAATGAAGGTATATTTCTAATATAAACTCTTCAGTTCCAAAATACTCCTATTTCTTTAGAAGTAGTATTACAAATCAGTTCTGAAGATTAAAAATGGTGTTAGTAAGCATTCAAGAAAAACTGACCAGCAATGAGTGCTGTGGTCGGCTTCTCTGCCCTGTCCTGATTAATCATTAAACTGTCTTGTATGAATTTGTTACTGCACTGAACGAACAAGGGCAGGAACATGCACAGTGCCACACTGTGAACCACAATTTTGTATTATCTCTGGCTCAGGTGGCCTTTTGCCAAGCTGCTCTATACCACCATCCGAAAGATACAAAACTCCTAACCACAGCAAGATCTGGTTTTATTTAAAAAATTAATGCAATGAAGTTGTGCTCAAGCCTTTTTCCAAACTTGGCAGCTCTGCGGTGTCTCACCCCCTGGACAGCACAGACCACCACATCCATGCCATCCTTATAATGGTCCAGAGGCTTCTTCCACCTGCAGATCCATCCCAGAATTAGGGTTAGAACCGCTGACAAATTAAAAAGCGACAGCTTTTAATTTCTTTTAATTCTTTTAATTTCTCCCCTCTAGAATAGCCCACTGATTCCACGCCAGGCTGATGCTATGCGAGGTTTCAGAGGAGGGTTTAGCCATGATGGAGGAGGAAATGTGTGCACAGCACCACAGCCGCTCCCCGTCTTGGGAGGAAAACTCAAAGCATACAACACGCACCAGGAACTACTACCCAAACTGAGGAGATAGGAAGGGGTCTGCAGCCCCCTCAATCCCTTTTGTTCCTAGTAGATCTGTGCACGGCTTTCTCCACCCTCCTACAGCCAGGTGGAGCTGCTAACTCCACCTGGAAGGAGCTGGAGGTTGCAGTGAAAATACTACTGATGTTTAAAGAGCCTTTGGGGGCAGCAGGCTGAAAGGAGAAGCAGCGCCAGGGCTCCTCTGAGGGAAGTATTCTGGAAACCCCAAAGGAGGAGGATATGGGGTTTATGATGGGAAAAATACAGGGATGCCTGCAGTCCTGCTGAGCAAAGGATGGCCTCCAAACTTGCGCGGAGCATGTGCGGCTTCAGCAACGCTTACCCAGTTGTGGAGAAAAACAAAGCATAATTAGGGGGATGGGGTGAAGAGAAGCTATTTTAAGTACTTCTCGCTATAGTTTACTATGGTAGCAGAACACTTAGAAAAGCCTTCAAAATGACAATCACCATTTAGGTTAAAAAAGCAAGTAACTACTTCAATAACAATTTATTCACCACCTAATGTTTGCTGTTGAATTACAGCTTTTACAGTATTCTTCTAAAGTATGATGTTTACTGCCTCCACCTTGCCTCCCCAAGACCTTTTTTTTTTCTTTTTTTTCTTTAAATAGAAAGGAATTTGAATCATGACTTACATGTAACTTTTCTAGGTTCTGTGCTGGCTAAAATGTTCTCACGATGCAGGGAACAGGATCAATGGAGAAATTAAGAGGCTGCAGCAATCCATTAAGAAGTGGCCCTCCAAAGCTTTGTAGGGCAATGTTCTGGCAACTCAGTCGATAGCAACCTAAAATAAAATAAAGGCAGGCATTAAAAAATTTAAGCACTGAATCTTCACAAAACCCCTCTTTCCCTCCCCCCTCTTTCTAATTCTAAAAACAGTTTGGGGGCCTTTTTTTTTTACACACAGGTCTTCATGTCAAACATGACAATTACATTATGCCCATTACATACCTCCTCTTACCTTTAAGGTGTAGACACCTTACAACAAAGACTATGTTTTTCTTGCGTTCGTATAGCACCCAGACATATGAGGCCCCTGAGAAGAACTACAGAACAGATAAACTAACACTTCTGTGATTATTCTACCAGATCATACTGCAGGCATGTGCATACTTATGCACACATACTAAGAAATTCTTCAGTATGAGGGTGGTAAGACACTGAACAGGTTGCCCATACAAGTTGCGGATGCCCCATTCCTGGGAGCGTTCAAGGTCAGGTTGGACAGGACTTTGAGCAACCTGATTTAGTTGAAGATGTCCCTGCCCATGGCAGCGGGGTTGGACTAGATGAGCTTTAAATGTCTCTCCCAACCCAAACCATTCTGTGGTTCTATGAAACTGCGCATCACACCAGAAAGGTGTTCCACCAAAACTAGCAAAATGATCTAACAGACTTTAAATAACAATTAATACTGGCTTTTGTCAAAGCTTTGCTTTGATTATATCAAGGAATTTAAGTCAGGAACATAAATTTGTTCCTTTGGTTCTGCTTTATTCTGGGGAGCTTCAGAGAATAAACTCCATCAGTGTAGTTCGGTATCCCCCAGTTAATGCAATGTGCGTCATACTCCTCTGTCCACCCTAAAGCAAAGCTACCTGTCACGCCAGTCCATGTCAAAAGAAAATTGGAGAGGGAATAAAATGTTCATGCGGCAACAGCAAATTCATCGTGCTGCCACTGCCATGCAAGAGGCTTGGGGCTCAGTCCCTGGAGCAGAGGCACTTTGGGACAGGGAGGGCTGCTGAGAGCAGAGCTGGGGCCGGGGGGCTGGAAGAGGGCAGCACCTGAGTCCCAGCATCCCTGCATGGTCCAGATCCCACCCAACGCCCCATCCCAGCTGACTCCAAAAAGCCTTCCCCCGTCTACCAAGGAAATGGTCGCACTCTGAAGTGGTTGGGGAGGAGGGTGGGAAGGAAATACTTGTGGAAGGAGAAGTAATTAGTTTTAAGTTACAGGTATTTTCAAGTTGAAGTTTTCAAGTTGCCAGTGCCCAACACTTTACTGTTTTCCTGGAAAAAACATTTGAATGCTTAACTACTATTTACTTGAATAAAGCTGGCAATTTGGAGTGGAAAGGAAGATGATTTTCTTTTGAACAGAAGGGGACAGCAGCAGTACAAGCAGTGGCATGTATCTATCTTCCCAGGATCACTGCAAGCGCTGTGCCTGCAGAATTACCACAAACTAAAGCTAGATAAAGGGGGAGATGAGGGGAAGGAAAATAAAAACCAAAAGTTTAGATGTTTTTAAAAACTACCATTATTTTTCTGAAACTTGAAAAATGAACTCTTCAGTAAAAACTTTGGTTTCTCAAGAAATGTCTACTGACTCCATAAAAAAGTCAAAAAATAACACAAAGCAGTGCAAATGAAAGAGGTATGGTGGTCGTTTTTTGTAAGTATGCAGTTCCCGGTAAAAAAAGTTCAATACTTTCTGAGCACTGATGCTACAGCATTTTACTCCCAAGCCTTGTAGAGATCTGGATCACTTATGAAAAGTAGGTTATTCCTTCTAGACGGCACCCTCCTAGATGATTTACCAACAAATGCTCAAAATACTGCTACCTTTAAGGATTACCTATATGGGTACTTGAAAAGAATCATGAGGCTATGGTAGGAACACAATGCTTGTGTCTCTTCAGTTTATATAATTTTCTCCAACTGGGCATAACATTCATTGACAGACTGTAAGAGAACCAAATATTTATGGTCGCAAATATACATTATCTAAATTGCCTATAAAACTAAAAATACAAACTCCAAATCTGTTCAGTCATAAATCACTGATAGAACAAAAATAACTGTTGCTTACTCAATGGCCAACGGAATAAAACCAGGGAAGGCTCTGTGTTTTCAAGGACAAGTTAGTTTTCTGAGCTAAAATTGCACTTGCCACAGCATATCAGAAGGAAAGCAGAATAAACAGAAGTGGGGAACAGGGAAATAAGAAAAAAAGGGGTGGGGGGAAGGAAGACTTTCAGTGCCACGCTTTTCTGAGAAGGTGTGATTGATGTTCGCTGCTGTAGAAAGCATAAGGCTGCATCCCAAACATTTCATTCCCTTCTGCAACTGTCTCACTCCGTATCTCGCCCCATGTTCCCTAGATATTCTTGCCCTACGCAGGACGATCCAGCCAGCATCAGGTTTTAGACATGATCTGAAACATGAAAGCAGGAATCTCTCTGCCCAGGGGTCAGCTTAGGGTAGAATGAAACCTAAACCCCCGCCCACGCTCAACACGAGGGCTTCTTCATGCTTTCCATTCGGTAAAAGGATTTTCTTTCTGAAACAGGCAAATTATTAAAAGCAAAACTGTCACTACAGCTGTAAACTTACAAGGAATACATGACAACTGAGCTTATATGAAATGAAGAGCCAACAGTACATCTACCAAAAAGGAGTTTCAGCATTTTAACACGCTGACCGGCCAGGTTTACAGCATGGGAAGAGCTGGATCCTAGGCAGGGGAAGATGCACTCTCCACTCCAAGGCTTGCTCACATCAAGGTCTCGGTTCTCAGCACTGACCTGCACACGTGGGTAATCAGTTATAGGATCACAAGAGGCCACAAAATCATTGTTCAATGTCAATTTGAAGACCCAGCTTCTGGAGTTGTGGGGGGTGCAAGGAAACTTTATCTTTATTTTAAAAAGAAGCATCTGCTTTCACAGCTGCATAGAAAGCTAGAAAAATAACAATACTTCAAACCAGACATTATAAGATGGTTTTTTTTAGACTTACATTGTTTAACAACCTCTTGTAAATTTTTGAACCAGGTTACCTTTTTTCCCCCTTTCTGAGAGCTTCCAGTACTGCTTGGCAGCTCAAGTTAGCACTGAAGAATGCAAACATAAAGGAAGACGCACCAGACACCACAATTGGCAGAAGGAAGCATGAAGCTAAAAAAGTATTTACTTCAAGAAAACATCTTCCAGCTTGGATTTCTGTTATACAGAGGGTACATTTCAAAGAGATGTTTTGTTGTTAATGTAAAATAATGAGAGCTTTGATGCTTAAGAGGAGGAAAACTGGTAAGTTCTTCAGTTTGCAATGAACAAACCAAGAAAGAGGATTTGAGAAGAATGCGATCAATGTACCTGGATGTTACTCCAGTTAACATGAGAGATGTTTCAAACACAGCAAATCGTGTAATCATGCTCAAGAAAACCAGAGAAGCTGGGTGGACAATGAGGGAGGTGAGCAACGAATACACAGCTGGGTTAGCAAACACACCAATGTTCACAACAGGCACGTAAAATTAGGGCTAAGTAAAATGAACCCACACGACAAGATGAGTTGGTGAGCTTCTCACAGACACGGACAGGAGAAAAAAAATATCTAAGGAAGGCTGCGCACCAGCAAGCAGGAAGAAGTGAGCACAGATGTGCAAACACAGCTGGTGTTTTCTGAAGCAATGCCTCACTTGGTGGAATGCAATGCTTCTTACACAAACATGTGCAGAAATTCGTCCCAGTGAAGTCAAGGATCCCAGGCTGTTGCATGCAATACCATCACAGATTAGTAAATGTGTTTTCTTTATGTTTTGTGTGTTTTTGAGTGAAGCTGAAGAATATTTCTTTCTGGTTGAAACAGCTTCATTGGAACATTTGTAGCTTGCAACTGCTTGAAGGATTGCCTGAGGTTGAGAAGGCATTTGCAAGGCTCCTGACATCTAGTGCAGGATCTCTCCCTGAAATCTCTAAATTAAACCCAAGATGATATCAATACCTATGTCAGAAAAGATGCACGGCCTGGCTTCACTATCAGTGCATTTATTTTCCTCCTAATAACCTGCTCGGTTCTTCCAAAGAGAAGGAACATGCTCATCCCTCACTCCTGCTTGTGTTCACGTGCACTGTTTGGCCAGGGGCAGCCAAAACCAGGAGTCTGAAGGGCACAGCAGCTTCTTCCCCGGTGCCCAGAGGTGGGATGCAGAAGACCACCACAACCGAGGAAGTATGGACCAGAAGCATGGAGGTACCCACCCAGGACCGCGAGGACTGGCTCTGCAGCGTGTCCCTATCTGGGAGAGCTGTGTCAACAGCCAGCCGAGATGAGATTGAGCTGTTCGTTCAGATAATGGCAAAACCACGTGAGGAATCAGTCTGGCTAGAAACCATGACTGAAGTCATCAGGAGAAGCAGCAAGATAACCACCGCTGACTGACTGAAGGGGAAGGCAGCTGCTGCTGCCCTGCGCTGGCCAGGGAAGCGCTCCAGAGTCTGCAAACTGGATTTCCCCATGCTACACTTAACAGCACCAACTGGGCTTAAACGGAAAACCCTAAGAGGAGCTGGGGGATGTGTGTGGGAGTAGTTTTTCCACCCCCTCTTGTCCTCTGGTTGCAGTTAACTCTGTGACACATCAACCAGGCTGGGCTAGGAGAGGTGGGAGACTGCAGTTCAAGAGCATCACCACAGGAACTTGTAAATCTTTTTATGTAAAATTTGAATGACTTTATCATTGGAATATACTCAACTTAAAATAAAGCCACCGTTGAAAATATTTTATCTTGGTGGTATGACTCATGAAAGAATGGCTAGGTGTAAAAGGAAAGTTAATATATGCTGTGAGAAAGACCCCCACACAACAACATTATCAAATGACACAAGATGAATATTTATGCCCCACACAAATGCGCAAAAATCACAGCCTAATCCTTTGTGTCAGATCTGATGAAAATTCAGATATCTGGCTTATTTCTCCTTAAGGACTAGAGATTTTGGTTAATACACATGCAACCAGGAGAAAGTAAGATGGTTCAGTGATGAGGATGAAATCG